AGTCGTGTAATTACACCATTCTATGGTGTCCATTTGTGTGTAAATGTGGACCTTGGCTAATGAGTTATTAGGCATCAGTTGGATGATGACTGCTTCGGTGAGAGAAGAGATTTGGGCGTGAAAGGGAATTAGTTGGGGAAAGAAACATATTAGTGTCATTCCTCTTATTATTTTTTGGATGGTGTGGAAGAGAGAAACATGAGAGCTTTTGAGGGGGCGGAAGATGACTTTAATAGGGTTAGAGATAGATGGTTTCAGATCTTGAGTTTTATTTATTTATTTATTTTTTGGGTCATCCTCTTATTCAATAGAGGATTTTGGAGACCTTATTAATATTTTGGTTGACATATAAGTATTTTGTTACTTGGGTTGACACCCACTTGATGCTTGTGAATGAACCATACCATACTTTTTATTTCAAAAGAATTAATAAATCTTTTCCCTTTTCTTTTTTAAAAGGGAAAGGTTTTGAAATGAGTGGATAAAGATGTACTTATCTTTATTTTATTTCAAAAAGAAAACATGTACCTGTCTATATGAACTTGGGCTTGAGACGTGTTTTAAATAACTTCTTTCTAAAGAACTTTATAATTCTAAAAAAATTTTTAAGGGATATTGATAATTAATTTTTTTTCTTCTCTTTCAGCATGTCTTATCTTTTTTTTTTTCTGCAATTAGACATTTTAGTAATTATTATGTCTCTTTTATTTATTTTTTTTTATGAATACTCAAGAATAATAAAACAATTGGAGCAACTTTTGTATGTTTCCTAGAGGGAAGAGAACTGGTGCGGATATTACTTGCTGCTGGAGCTGATCCAACTGCCCAAGATGCACAGCATTGCCGAACAGCTTTGCATACATCTGCCATGGCAAATAATGTTGAATTGGTCAAAGTAAGATATACTGTTTCCATACGTCTTGATATGATACCACTTTGTTGGCAACACCCTGTTTGCGACCATTTCTCTTCTGGTTCTCTTAAACAAAATTTTATCTTCGTGAAATTTGAGTAGATTATTCTGGAAGCTGGAGTGGATGTGAACATAAGGAATGTCCATAATACAATACCTCTCCATGTAGCTCTGGCTAGAGGAGCTAAAGCGTGTGTTGGGATGCTTTTAGCTGCTGGAGCAGATTGTAATCTCCAGGTTTCTTTTCATCACCTCTAACTTCATTCATTAAAACACCTTGATGCTTAGTACACACTGCCAGTGATTGGATGATTTTCTTGAAATCAAATCAATGTTGCGTGCTCAGATGCTATCTAACTATATATTATAATGACCTGAAACTAATAATATACGAATTATAAAAAGCTACTTCACTACTCTGAACCATGGGGGTTCACCATGAAAGTTAAGATTTTAAAGAGATGAAATGTTGTGAAATGGCTTTTGCTTTTGATTAGTGATAAAAAAAATAAATTAGCATTAGATAAGACTTGACACCTATTATATCCGCACTTGGTACTGTGAACTTTCTGTTTGCTCTTCTGTTAACATATATCGTTATTTTCTAGAAGTTTTTCTATGTAAGACGTAGATTACAGCAGTGTGAACAATTTAATTTGACATGGTTGCAATCTGCAATCTTTTATTTTATTGTTCCTGAAGTTTGCTGCCAGCAAATTCATCTTCTGGAGAAAAAATTCAACGGGGAATGAATCAATACCATCTCAACTCCAATCCTACCTGGTTAACAATCTAAGTTTCTTACCGTTTTTAGAGAAAAAGAAGTTTCACTTCGGACGCTTTCTTTTCTATCCATTTGAAGGGTTGGGTAAGAAGGAACAAGCTTAACAATTCATGGTGCAATGCTCTCTTAGTGGGGTATCGAGTCTAATGATTAGAGTGCAGTGCCAGAATTTTTGGTCCACGGACGTTATCTTAAGTAACCTTTCCCAGAAATATTAGTTAGAATGCTAGTGCTGATATGGGAGAGACTCCTATTAAGGAAAATATAA